AATCAACAGTGTTAATAATGTCCTATTTAGTACTTTACTGTTATTGAACCAGTTAAATAAACATCACCAAAAGTCCACAAGCTTTACAATATATTCAAAACAATGTAATTTTAGACTACTGTGTACAAATGTACCTTGTTCCATATTTGATTTCCTTGCAGTTGACAAAGATTGCTCGGCAAGCATTGACCATATTCATGTTACATCCTTCATCTTGGGGACCAATGAAACTGGTTTCATCACCACAAGTGAAAGATCTAAAAATTTATGGAATAAGAATCTGTCAGCATTGTCTTTAACTGCCAGCTACCACAACATTGCTTTGCCATATGCTGTAGATAGCACATACATATATGACACTGAGAGGGCTTGTTAGACACTATATCTTGATGCAATTTCATACCCTTCACCTTAAAAAGTCATTTTGTAAATAAATAAGAAATCTCATTCATACGTGGCATAAACCAGTGGGGTTCAAAATTATCACCAACGTGCCTGGAAATAACATTGAGAGCTGGTGACCAGAAATTCAAGGCTAGTTGCCAGCAGCAGGTGTCTGAATAAGTTTTAAACAGCCATTTGAGAATAGGAGTATTTTAAACTAGCTCGACTTTTGCTTTACCCTGCCAACATCACACAGCAGTTATTTGTTTCATTGTTTTAAAATATCTCGTGTTTAGAAGGGTCAAATGGATGTTTTTGTGGCCACCATATTGTTAACAGCAATCATTTCTGGCTAAAATAAATTGAAATAACCTTTGGTACATTTCATACACATTTTCTTACTTTACGGCATGAACATTTATTAACACCATTCTCCCAGTGCAAATTTCCATCTAGATTTTTCAATTGTTAGATTTAGTGTTGTTTCAGAGGTGAAGGAAATTCATCTTGCTAAGATTAGAAAAGACAAATCACAATTGGCGGCTTGCATCGTCACATGATCGGCATGACTACTCCATCAAAATCAACAAAAAGTGACTTGTGTTGTGTCGCTGTTGTGGAAGAAAAGAAACTTGTGCAATAAAGAACGGTCAAATAGAGGAGCAGTTGGTTTTATTCACCTTACAGGTAATAGCCAAATTCAGAACAAATACTATTTCTCTTCGGAAAGCACATAATCTTGAAATGAACCTAATATGACGATTTAAAGATCATCCTCTCATTGATGGCAATATCGTTAACCTCCTAATGCAAGGCTTTGAGCTGTGAAGCTTTGAAAGCTGTGGATCATAGCTTTGTTCACAGCATTGCACCAAATATCACATTAATCTGAATTAAACTAACCTGTCCCGCACAGTAAGAAGACCAATCAGCTTATCAATAAGTTCCTGTTTAGTGTAAACTTGGCCTAATATATCAGCAAATCTTTTTCGTCCATAAACCATCTTTGGCCAGGAACAGTTAAGTACTTTATTTGACAAGACATGAATTCCAGGACTCAACATCTTAACAGCTTTCTCTTCAACATTACAATACCATCCAACTTTGGAGTCTCCACCTTTGGACAATGTTCCAACCAAAAGATTAAAACCATTGTACCTGTCAGCATTGCTACTAACATTCTCCAGGTATTTTCTTACATTGCCATCACCCTCTAAAAAATCTGCTACAAGATGTCCTCTTCCAGTTGCATTAGGATCAGTGAACTTTGGTGCTTGTCTATAGTTTGTGATGGCTGCAAATTTTCCATCTTTGGTCATCCCAAGCCAAGTACCACCTTCTCTGCCCGCTTCCAGATCCATACCTGTTAAAAGTGAGGTAGAAATCATTAAACCTTCAGACTTGGTTTTAACTACCCTATAACTCCACAAGAAAACAGCTGCAATTTTGCAATGCCACCAAAAATTTCCCTTAAAAATGATGTCTCACAAACGGCAGAAATTTCAAGCTGATGATGACACTAATTTATCCAGAACTGTTTACTTCTGACTGGTACCCAGCCATGCTGCAAGGGACATCTGCTTCGACTTATATTCCAGTATGGATTTCTGGAGAATGTAATCAAGTCCCATGAACTTGATTGCATGGTGTATGCTGACAACTTACAATGCTATGTCATTGTGAATCCAGATACAGGGGTGTATATAGCAGACACATGGCCTCAGCTAAACTTAAACATTGTATTTCTGATATCCAGGCATTTTTCGTAGCTAACAAACTTTGCTGTAAATTTGAAACTGAGATTGTTTATTTTCATTCTAGGTTAATAAGTGTGCCTCCACTAGCTGGTATTAACATAAGTCATCATGTGGAATCTACCAGTAAAGAAGCGTGAAACCTCAGTGTAGTTTTGACAATCATCTTGCTATACATGTCTAGCAATATAAAAAAGTATATGTTGCTCCGCCTCTCTTGCTCTAAGAAACTTCAGCAGACTTAGGAAATATCTTGATCAGGATAATGTGGAGCAACTAGTCCATGCCTTAATTACATCAAAGCTAGACTATTGCAATAGTTTACTGTATGGACTGCTACTTGAGGACATTAGCAAATTACAGTGCCAACAGAACTCTGCAGCAAGATTAGTTATGAAATATAACCCCGAGACCACATAACTCCATCATTGCAAAAACTGCACAGGCTCCCTGTTGAACACAGAATAATGACTTAAATTAAAATCATCAATGGCTGCGCTCCGGAATATCTGAGTGACTCAGTTGCTAGAAACTTATGTCCCACACATTCCTTGCATTCTGTGCATATGCTGTCCCCAAAACCTTCACTTCCACCTATGGAACAACCAGACAGTTCCTTAGATTCTTATAAAAGGAAACTCAAGACCTATCTCTTTTAGGACGTATTCTTATAGCATTTCTTTATAGCATTTATTAGCATTTTAGCATTATAGCATATCTTTTTTTAATTTATTGATTGTCATCTAAGGCCATGATAGATTTTCATTTCTGTAAATGCACTGAGGCAATGCAACATGCATTCCAAAAAATGTAATTTATTATTATCGTTGTTGTTTCGTTAGATGACGTATCATGAAGAAAACTAGTGGTGTTGTCCCAAAATATCAGTAGTTTTCTCAGGCTCTTTCAAACTTTAACTTCTCTAAGTGGCCCTATGTACAAAAGAAGGATAACTTTGACAGGGACCTTGTGAAGCAGATTCAAGTTAAGGGATCTTCTAAACCAAGCCTACAATGTAAAAGCAAATGAAAAAATCCTTACATGTAAAAAACATAACTTATTATAAACAGAAATTTAGAAAGGAAATTTCCAAAACTTGGAGCAAAATGACGAATAAGGAAACAAATATTTTGTTTAAATCACTCGTACCTCATCTGCATTGTGACAGCTATTTAACAGAATACTCTCCTGGTGATTCATAACTTTTCTGTTACACAACCACGGTTTTTTCAATAAGCACTGACGGTCGGCTACTTTACTCAGAGAAGTGAGCATGTTCACAAACGTTGCTTTATTTTCTTTTTGATAATCGGCAAGCACACTACTAGAGGGAACGTGAAGTGAAACAACGAGCAAGAAAGAAAAAATGACGAACATCTGTAATATTTTAAAAGTCCCTCCCCCATATCAACGCCTTATCATTATCACTTCCGCATTTGAAATACCCATTAAATTGGACTAATGATATCGGAGATATAGATTGCTTGTGTGAAAACAATAACGTCCGGAGTTGCGGATTTGTTCGTACTTTTGTTGAAGCATGTCTACTTCAACTCTGAAAAAGCCAGCTAAGAGAGGTCCGAAGCTGAAACAAATCGGCCCGTCAGATTACTGTAGGATATGTGGGCTCTGTTTATACGTCAATAATTCTAGGCATATCCTGTTAATGTAAAGGTACAAACTGAGTTTCACCGCTGCGAACAACCACTAAATTAAACTTTTCCCAAAACCTGTGGGAAGAACCGCCATTATGCTTTTACTCCACTAAATCCAAAACAGCCTAAAGCTGCTCTTCTTTGAGTAACTGTGCCAAACACTTGTCAAGCCAATTTCAATCTTCTAAATTCCAATCACAAAGATACAAAGGACATGGTCAGCACAAGTTTGTAGTATGACTGCATCCAAAGTTCACCAGTCAGCGGTGCTTTCAATCAAAGTTATGTTTTATTTATGCAAATGGCAATATACGTAAGTGTTGCGGTGATCATGTCCAGGCATTGACTAAGACTTCTAATGAGTCATTGACATAATGATGACAGGATAATCGGTAATTTGCTTTTCCTGGGAAAAGCAAGTTTCAGTAGTTGTATTCAAAGATGTCTACAGACTGTCTAATTTCTTCTTCCCCCACCCCTGCCCTCATGCGCTAGTGGTCATTTAATTCCCCGCTGTTTTTATTTTTATCACACACACTTGGCGGACTTTTAAGAGAAAATAAAGGGTCTGTGAACAGGCTACAGAGAAGTTGGCTTCTTTTTTCTAGAAGAACTGAGAAGCAACTAGTTTAACTAACGTCAAAAACAATACAAATATCATAAAAACTAAATGAACTGGTTTTACACTATGCTTTAGTCATGTGAATGCTATATTTCAGTCAATTTTTCACAAGTTTATCTTATAGGTTTATGCAGAATTTGTGTCCATGCAAAGTACGTATATTAGTTTTCATCATTTGTTCACAGGGTGTTGGAAATGTTCAAAGGAGGATTATGCAGTCCTCCCATGATGCATTGCACCAAAATATATTATCGAATTGGTTTGTGACATCATCACTTTGAAGATGGATGTATTGAGCAAACAACTCCATCAAGCTCCCATCTGCAGGGAAGATACAGACATGATTTAATTGTACTGTTGCGATTTGAATACCACGTTAGACTTTACAGTACCTTCTCTGCAATTTTTACCCCTGATGTGGTCTTCGGCCATTTCATTTTTGTCAGTTCTTTGGTGGAGAGGCATTAGTAAGCTTAAGCTTAAGCTTTATATGTTTTATACCAACAAACAGGCGAATTTTGGATAAACTCAACAGTGTGAGATTTCTATTCATTGTACAGGTTATCGAGAAAGTTCAGAAGAAAGCTCAGTTTTCTTTTTGTGGGCAAAGGAACGCTTTTATCATGAAATTGTTCTTCAAGGAATTCAACCTTGTTTTCTTCAAAGTTGAGCACTTGACCTGTTTTGAAATGCAACCAAGGCAGCTACGTTATGGAGAATTTTGAGGTACATTTTTTACTCTATGATCAAGGAAATTACTTTTTTAAATCGAAATTTATGTATTTATGAATGTGTCATAGACGTTTAATTCATTTTGGTATCAATGTTTAAAGAAAAAATTACAAAACGTGCCCTGATTGGAGATGGCATGATTTTGTGTTGAATTTTGCCATGTGCTCAGCCAATTTTTACTTGCATAAACAGATCCATGATCTAGTAAGTGTTCCATGAATTGCTTTTAAGGATTAACTAAGGGATTTTTTTCAATGAAATTTTTCAAGAAATTATTTCTCTGTCTATTGATTTGTGTTTGGTCATTCATAACATTGGCTTAAAACATGATCGTGAGAGAAAAATATCCAAGTTGACTTTTATGCTGCTGACATTACACGCATCACTTCTCCGAGAGATTTCGGTGAGTTTTTGGGCACTTTTCGATACACAGCTACTGAATTTTATTTGAAAATATGTTTTACTGATTATTCTAGTTACATTCAGAGATAATTTTTTAAGCCTAATTTTTATGAATATTTTTCGCTCTATAGTTTGTTGCATGGTTGGGTCTGCGCCGAAGTATCTTGTTTTTTATCAAAGTGACAACTTTGAGAAGCCGCACGGTCATTTGCCAATGGGTAAAAACAGCCATGTCCAATTTTGATTTGTCGATTTTTGAGTTGATGTACAACGAGGTACATTGTCATTTGTATTTGTCTGCACCAGGAATAAAATACCAGCCCAAACAAGCCACGAAGTGCTTACAGTTGATAGTTAAGAAGCTGCTTGAGCAATATAGCTTCAAATGGTCTCTTTTGCAACAAAAATCTTCTGAGGCAAATGCGTGAACAAAATCGAAGAGCAATCACTTTAATTTCTACTGGTATTTAATCTATTAACCCATTCGCCCCTGAACCGCCCGTGCGGATCCAGGTCCTTTCTACCCTTTGTGACGTCATCAGTTTTAACGGTCAACAACAACTTTCTTCGCTAACTTGTGCAGAGTGAAGAGATCTTTCAAACCATACCAGAATGAGCACAATTTAGTCAAGGACACCGGAGAAAGAAGCAAAAAACCACGTGACATTGACCTGAAAATCTCCATGAAAATCTTGTTCCATTACCCACCTACCTTTCCTTTCACCTAATCCTAAGATCCTAAGAGCTTTCCTGAAAACTTTTCCCACCAAAATGAAGCCTACTAAATGCCCAGCAAAAAAAAAAAAAATGAGGCAAGAAAGCAAAAAAAAAGAAGGGAGGAGAGAAAGCGAAAAGTAAAAGTCAAGACTGCTGTGTCACTTTTAAACCCAAAAACTATCTCGAAGTTTTGCTATCTGCGCATGCCCGAACTTCCCAAGCTGATATTTTGCATCTGGATCAGAAGGCCGCGAAGTGTTCGACCTGTAAACCAGTTTGTGGTAAGTTTTAGCTCTTTATAGCACGACAGTGACCAGAAAACCACTCGACTAGCTTCAAAACGCGTTTTTCGGCAAAATCTCCAGGACCGAATGGGTTAACTTTGCATTTTAAGGCCAAGCAACACGTGAACTTGCAGAAAATGTGACGCAAATATCTACAGCCTTTCTCTTTTCTTCTCTCCTTTCATGTTGCCATGGTTCGTACAACTTCAAAAAACAAATTTCAAGAGGCAGGTACAAAAGTCAGACCGGATCAACTCGGACCGCCAGTCCGGGTCGGATCAACTCGGATCGACTCGGACCAACTCGGATCGAATAAAAAAATAAAAATGAAATAAAATTGGACTCGGATCACCTCGGATCATAAAAAAAACAACTCGGATTATAAAAAGAAAAATAAAATCAGTCGGTATCACTTAACTTTCACCTGCCATTTTGTTTTTTTAAAAAAAAATAAATTGCGTAAATTAATTTTATTTTTATTTTATTCATTTTAATGATACACTAGTGAGCAGCACACATACACTTCCAGTGAACATTTTCAACTTGGAAGGAGGAGAAATCATGCTCGCCCAGGACAACGAAAATTTTCGTACCCCGGGCGAGAATTGAACTCACGACCCTCCGAATACCACATGTTTATCGGACGTTCCAACCACTGAACTGGAGGGTCGCGAGTTTGATTCTTGCCAAGGGCATGGAAATTTCCTTTGTCCCGGGCGAGCATGGTTTCTCCTCCTTCCAAGTTGAAAATGTTCACTGGAAGTGTATGTGTGCTGCTCACTAGTGTATCATGAAAATTAATAAAAATAAAAATAAAATTAATTTACGCAACCACGAGTTCGTGAGAAAAAAACAAAATGGCGGGTGAAAGTTAAGTGATACTGACTGATTTTATTTTTCTTTTTATAATCTGAGTTGTTTTTTTTTATGATCTGAGTTGATCCGCGTCCAATTTTATTTTATTTTTATTTTTTTATTCGATCCGAGTTGGTCCGAGTCGATCCGAGTTGATCCGACCCGGACTGGCGGTCCGAGTTGATCCGGTCCGACTTTTGTACCTGCCTAATTTCAAGGACTTTTCAAAGATTTTGCAAAGACAAATTACAGTTTTCAAGGACTAAGATTTATATGATAATTAATCAGCATTCTTTAACCCTCTTACATCACCCTATTACCTAAAATACATCATGGAGTCATTTATCATTTTTACCTCTTTGGCCATTGGTGATCACATTTTTATGTGTACTACTTTCCGCAACAAGACTTTGCAAAATGACTGGGTACGACTTGCAATTGCATCTGAGGTAGTACAGAAACAGCATTTAAAGTAAAGAAACAGAAATAAAATATTGTTTATGCACAAAAATCTAAGTTAACAGAAAAGGTGTCTGGCATAGACAAGGTTGTGAAGTTCAAGGACTTTTCAAGGACTTAAACCAAATTCAAGGACTTTCAAGACGACTGGTAAAATTCAATACTTTTTCCCAGATTGTAGGAACCATGTCTTGCCGCACAACTCCTTAGCTCCTTATGTGCTCTAATTTTGAGAGTTAAAAATGCAAATGATTCAGTCATTACAAAAGCAAAACCTTATCAGTAGAAACAGAAAATGAGAAAAAAGGGTCCAACCTGCAATTACACTGGGATTTTTGCTCCAAAACTTTGCAAAGGCAGTTGGTCTTGAATAAAATTCATCTCTGTTTGAAGCTATGATTAGACGATACCCATCAGGAGTTGGATTATCACAGAAATACAGAAAAATAATGCACATTACTGCTCCTCTGCTGCACCTAAAAAATGATAACACAAAAAGTTAAAGACCACATTATATTGGAGATATTTCTAACAATGGTTACTATATGTGGCTCTCAACTTTTAATTTCCTTTGCTATACAAAATTAAAACAATGTTATATTAATCTGCCAAAATAACAACAAAAATGAAAAACGTTTTTTGATAAGAACTTTGCAAAATAAATAAACTTATGCTAGACCACTCTCTTATTATTTTCTAGATGAATAAAGGTTTGATAAAAATTTGAATGAGAAATTGCTGTTTTAAATTTTGTTGCCATTTTAATCACTTAGCACAGGAAATACTTCATTTTAGATGTCACAATATTGATCCTGGCCAATGCAATCTAGAGTACGTAATCCTAAACAGAACAGTAAGGCCACAGATAGCTATGAAAGACAGCTTATCAATGCAATATATAACTCAATCAAAATTAAAACACTTACATCGAAATCGGATGATTTCTAACGCCGATATTAATCAAAACTTAAGACTAATAATGTTCACGCGCAAGAATTGAAGAGAGTCAACCAGATCAACGTACCTCAACTAACTTGCTAATCTACTTGCAACAAATTGTCTAGTTTTTGTGTTGAATTTCGCTGACTCACAAGTTGTAGTAGTTACTCTTGACGTCAGTCGTTCTGGTCTAGTAGTAGTCGCTCGTTTTTGTCTTGCTCTTGATCAGTATCTTGCCAAATATCACACTAGCAGCTGGCTTGATTTGCTCAGGCAAACAGCTGGGCATAACATAATTAATAATTGTGACTGTTATGAAGAGACTAATGAAGTGATCGATACACAGTGTGTTTAAATGCCTCTTTAGGGTAAGATTACGAGAGAATCAGTACAAGCCATGAGTTTTTCCTTCCCTCATATTCATATTCCCTGATATTAGTTCGCCAAAAAGCGATGAAGGAAAGTAGCAAAAAGGAGCGCAAACGATTCTGTGGTTCGTACGTCATGTAAGCCTAAGGTTCTGGTCTCTTCCCCAATACCACCGGGGTAAGTTCAAAATAGCTCCTGAAATCGAGGCTTTTCAGGACAAGATGGCGGCCTCGCCATAATAAATAGCAACAATAAGTCATGGAGGAATTGAACAGTAATGCGGAGGATTTCCCGAATGGTACACTCGTCTTAATATTTTCAAGTGTATTTACGTTATGTTCAAAGTGCAAGCACTTTGTACTTATATTGTTTTTTGTGTTATCACAGACCTTTCTTCCCTCAGGGAAGAAATTAGAAGTCTGAGGCAAAGAGAGCAGCAGCTTTTAAAATATAAACAACAAAGCGAAATTGAATTTGGACAAAGAAGAGCAAAGTTTAAGGAACTCTATTTAGCAAGAGAAGGTAACGACCTTGTAATTCTTCTTTACCTGTTTAGTGTTGCAATTTTGGGAGATATTAAGTTTTCTACGTATAAGCTTAAGCTTAAGCTTATCACTGTATCTTGATACGTGTCCTTCAGCTAATATGAGAAGTTTATTTATGAACAGTAGGCTTTTGTCACACGCCATATTTGTAACTTAAGTTGGATTACTCTAATGTGACTGCATTCCACTGTTATGTTTGAAAAGGCACATGCCGCTGTAATCATAATATTTATTAGAGAGTTTTAGATCCGAGTTTACCGCGAACCTCTAACCGCGGTTTGCGGTTACCCGTTTCCGGTTCGAAGTTCAAACATAATTCGATTTAGATTGGCGGTGGTTTAAAGAAGTGGATTCTGGTTTATTTTTCCATTTAGAAATATATAGAAGAAATATCAATCAGTGAAAATAAAAGAAATTTAGAATAACACTTGGTTATCTAGCAGCAAAGAGCTGTAAATTCTTACATTAGTTCTTCTTGCAAATTTACGGCCGCCACTTTGAATCAGCAGCCATGAATGGCACTTGTTTTCAAGATCCAATAGGATTTATCAAATTTAGCATTTCGCCCGAATTTGCGCCTCTGTTAATGGATAAAGACTTGCTCCACAAGATTTTTGTATCATTACGTGAGATAAAACAAGAATTATACACTAAAAGCTTTCAGGTAAATGACCTACGTGAAAACCTACCTCCCCACGTTGAAAACGCACGTCGTAAACCTCAAACGTGACGCGAAAGACTTGTCATGTGACCTTCAGCGGTTAGAGGTTCGCGGTAAACTCGGATCTAAAACTCTCTATTCAAAGTGGACAGACTGCAAATATTATTATAGTAGTTGCTAAAATTATATATATCTACGTGTCACAGCTGTTCATCAGTAGAATCCCTAAAATGCATGCAATTCCACAATTGGTTTCGGCTCCAGCTTAATAAGTCAACAGAAGTTCATGTTTCCAAAGATTTTGAGTTGCAGTTTGAATGATGGCAGGGAATGTTACTGTGACAGAAAAATGTAATTAACAATATTACTGGAAAAGTAATACTAATAGTTATTCATTCTAAATCTTCATTTCTGATAGGCTGTAATATTAATCCCTGGGCTAATTCTCCATAACTAGCTGGTGCTGACCAATTTGGTACTATCACTGACTTTAGTCACTCAGACATCAGTGATTGTTCTTTGCAAATCATTTCCAAGTATTTGCCATTGACAAAGTACAAACAATTTTAGCAATAATTTAACAAATTTAACAAATTATTTGTTGATTTTCAAAAAAATTAAGAGGCGGTCTTCCTAAAAGCATTCCACTCGATTCCAGACTCGACAAAAGTCTAGTCTTTTGCCTTATATTTTTACCATCAACGCTACTATCCATCCTAACAACGAAATTGCAGTTAGAATGAGGAAATTGTTTATTTTACTGCCATTCCCAGCATTTCATTGCTAGGCAACAATTAGCAGTTAAACTCATCGCTAATGATGAGCTTGGGAGCAGGTGCCTTAAAGGTTAGTGGGGGGGCCAAATGCAATATGCAGAGAGGAGGTATCCATGGCAACCCTGGAAGCGAGAACCACCCCAAAAGAAGCGACTAACCGGCACCATCACACCTTCATTCAGTGGAGATACTTACCTAAGAGAATACTTACCAGAGAGAATACTTACGAAACCACCAAGCAGGGAGAGGGAGCAAGTATCTGCAATGATTTACAAGGCAAAAATTGATCCGTTATGATCAGCAAGCAAAGCTACAATGCAATGCAACACTAGCAAAAGAGTACACAAGCAGCCCTACAATTCCCCAAGGGCCGCCCCGTAGGTCACGTACTGGAGTGGGAGAAGACCGCTGGCCAACTCACTCGAGTTCAACTTTGCCTAATGACATTTAGCCACATCTAAAATATGCAAATTTTAGACTATGTTATACAGATATTTTAACAATTGTTTAAAAGTACTTCGGGTAATCAATTCCTACACTATTTGCACTCATTTGGAAGCATATTACTTCTTCTTACTGTTCGAGTACCCTTTAGGCATATCTTTCTGTAATCCGCAAAAACTGGTTGTCTTTATTTACAAATCCAACTAAGAAAACAAAATGCACAAATAAATGCCTCAAAATCATTAGAAAATTCTCCAATGTGGCACCTAAGCGAGACCTAAAAACATGTTTTTTCAAGTTATGCAATAAAACTTGCTGCACATCGTGATTCAGAATTGAAGGTTTCAACTCAGACTTAGTCAAATGTTCAATTTGCAGTGCATGACAGTACCGGCTGCTGTCACAACAAAATCCTCAGTTATTCAAATACTTGCCACTTTTAAGTATGATATCAGTGTGCAAAGAAAGTAGTGTCTGATAGCCTGGGGCTAGTGGATTTTTCTATCAGGCTAGTGAATTCTGTTTCTAACTTGCCTGACGGGCAAGTGATGTTTTTTGAGGAATTCGAATAACAGAAGAACTGTGAAATCAATTCTGCTCGTCAAAAAGCTTTTGGGGCTAGTTGAAATGACGTCTGGGCTAGTAAATGCTAGCTTCAGCTTGCCCGAATGGCAAGCTGTAAAAATGATTTTCTTTGTGCCCTGGATATGCTTCATTTTCCCACCAAAACTATATTAAAATTCCCTTGTTCCCTTTGCCAATGATATCTATTGTTCAAAAATTAGTTCAGCTAGTAAAGGATACCTTTCCAAGCTTCATTTAATTTCCCTCTGCCCACAAAATTTGTGTTAAGTCTGTTATGTCAAGATGGAAAAAATATCTTTTCAGAACCAAACCTCTTCTAGTTTAAAATGTGGTCCAGTCTGAAAAAGCTGCATTGACCAGAAGTTGCTCTGATCCATCACATTATAAAATCGCACGTCAGTAGAAAAGTAAATTTCCCACTGCCCAGTAATTAAATGTGCATGAACGGGTCAGAAAATGTTTGACTACTAGTACTTCGCCCCATGTAAGGGTATCGGGATTGCGGAATCTGGGAAATTTTTGCTTGTAGAATCCGAAATCCAGGAAAATTTTCTCATGGAATCCAGAATACAGGGCTTTGCAATCCAGAATAGAGCTCAAGTAATCGAAAATTCCACTAAGGAATAGGATCCAGAATCCTAGACTGTGTTGGATTCTCTAACATGGGGCAATAGTACTGGACTGCGAACGGCGAATGACTAGTTATTTTTCCTTTATTTACTATCCTCTGATCAGCAGCCCACATTTTCAAACAAATTGGAAGACCTAGGCCTTTGTTAGAGAAATTTTAGTCAGAAGGTTTCTTCCAATTTACCGACTGTTTCTTCCTATTGAGAGCGGTCAAATTTAGTTTTCACACTCCTAGAGACAGTCTGGAGTCCAAGGCTACATTTGTATCACAGCCCGTCAATAAAGAAATTGGCATACAAAAATAATAAGTTTCAACATTAATTTTGAATCGTGCAACTTCAGTGAAAGTAAGAAAATAAAGTGTGCAAGTTCACGCGGTTTCTCCCAACTGATACAAGTACACGAATTAAGCCAATACTCTCAAGTGGAACAGATGGTGATTTGTTTCCCCTTGGACTCCCACACAAAAGTGACGCGGGTGCTCGTCATTACCAAACCTTAGTCGTAATTTACTGAGAGCACTCAATTGTTTGGTACCATGGAGAATTCAATGACAGAATTTTCTATTGAAAGCCCAACTTGGACAAATACCTCTGAATTGGAACAATCAGTAGAGGTGAGAAGTGACGCAAAGTCTGAATCAGCATTGTCAAAGGTTTACCCATACACTGTTTTCACATCTTTTCTCGTCTCACATCTTCTTAACGGTTGTTACCCTGTTCTTACTGATGCTTCATTCTACCATGTCAATGATGTAAAAACAATCTGAAGGATCTAGGATTACATTTTTAAAAATCAGCCTTTGGACCCACCGTATGGATCCAAATTCATATTAATATTGATTTTACTAAATTAGGTGCCACCGTGATTGTCATTTAGTTTTTGCGGCCCCAGTGCAGCGCTCATTTGATACACTAGCCTACCACCGACAATCTTGCTGAGCCAACTAACAGGGTGTTATTGCTTTTATGTCTGCATATTGAGATGCTATGACAAAGAATATAAAGATTCAAGTACTTAGTATTTATGCTTAAATGATTGATATACCATGCATGTGTTACAGAAATTCATGAGCCTTATGATAAAACAAAAAACAAAACAAAAATTGAGGAACAATGCGTGCAGCATGCGAGGAAACAAAGGCCTGGTATAAATTTCCCTAAAATAGTGAAATATAAATCCCATAGTCATTCAAAGTTTAACAACTAGGCAGGCTAGCAGTTTTTATTTAGTGGTGGTATGAACAGGTTACAACTGAACACTGTCAGGCTATTCACTTCACTCGCTGTCCATCACAGAATTGGCATATAACATAATGTAATTTGTGATTACACCGTATTATCATAAATTACTATTTTGCCGGCAGGTATCAGAGGTCTAGGGAGGGTGTTAGTGCGCAGTGAGTCATGAGTTTGTAATTGTGCGGTCGTTGGGAAGGTGAGGGTCAGCCTTCACCGTGTTGGTTTGCTTTTCTCTCTTTTATTTTATTCGTGTGTTTATTGATGGAAGGTGAGGCATTCTATGGTCAGCCTGGTTCTTTGGGGTTTTTCACTGTGTTGTTTATAGATATTACTTTATTCTCATATTTTATTTTATTGGCTGGCCCATGCGCCCATATATGAACATTGTTTATTGATGTTTATAGTTTACTAGTACTGTGCATAGACAATACCCAGTAGATTTAAAACCCCTTAAAGGGGGTTGCACCACTGCCTTGGTCGGGAAAAAGACAGCCCAACTTTTTCAAGTTGTGTCGGAGATTTTGGAAGGCTGTTTTTATCTGTCTAAATCTCAGCCATTCCCCTAAGTTTTGTATTAAGAATCATTCTATGGTGATTTTTCCAATTTTTGCTGGTTTTTTGGGGAATGTTTTTACGTGGATTTACTGTGTCCTGTCCGGCGTTGTAATTTGGTGCTTCTGTTGATGGAATCTTTGATGGAATCTTCCCTATAGTTCACAGGACCTTTTATTAGTTATTTTAGGCTGCTGGTATTTGCTCAAAGTATGTGGACATATCTGCATATATGTTGAATATCAGGCCATCAGTTTCGTGGACGAAACTAAACTCTTGGCGAAGGAAACATTCTAAAATTCGGCTAGATTCCTTCTTGTTTTTATCTCGATTCACGGCAAAGATAAACACGACCGTTTGCTCGTCCAGATTGTTCTCAACGGACTTAGAGAGGCACCTTAGTACGAGTTAGATCCTGTAAATGCCATGTTTTTGAACTGTTTGTGTTGGAGCATAATTTTGGAAAATAGCAGAGTTTGCTTTCCCTTTTTATCAACGGACTGCTTATAGTGGAGTAGTATACCAATGATGCTGGGTTTTTCTCGACGTCGCAGTGATTCGCACGATCGAACAATGATAATGTATGTTTCCCTAAGATCAAAACAAAGACTTGGTCTCTTGTTCTATCAGCATCTAAATTATAAAATCAATAGCGACAGACAAGTCTAATTGTTAATGATTTGAAACAGTCTTGGTCTTTATCTTGGTCTAGTCTTTTTGTAGCTCGTTTGTAAAATGCAACTTCCATTTATTTTGTTGAAATTATAAGACAATATGTTGTTGTTGAATTTTTGTTTGCGCTCTATTTTATGAATGGCATGCGTTTTTACTTCAAAACTACAAGTAAAATTGTCATCGCAATTTTATTCTTGATCTAGCATAACCAGAGAAGAAACGTTCCATAAATTCTATCGAAATATCCCTTATCTAAACCCATTTCGCTAAACCTCTCTAAATTCGGAACCTTGGACGTGACAGAGAACATGAAGAAAGTCACGCGTTAAAAACAATAGAATTTTGACAGTTGCATAACCTCACAGCGCACATGGAGAAAGTCACGCGTTAAAAACAATAGAATTTTGACAGTTGAAAGTAATTTGCATAACCTCAGAGCGCATGCTCTCCAGCTGACATAGCCCCTTTAAAATAAAACCCTTTTCGGCTTCCTACAACGGCTACGAGAGAGACATTTCCTCAATTTCCTTGATTGTTAATGATCGTTTTTGGTTTCACTCTGTAATTCAAACCAGTGACTTGCCGTCATTTCTTCAAATCTTACAGATACCGATGTCATCGTTGTTAGCTTGGAATATCAAACCAAGACGTTTGAGAGATGGGCCTTGCTTTAAAATGTGTAAATAAATCAACGGTATATAGACTACCAAAATATTCTGATTTCCACATGTTTGGCGGTTCCGTAAGCGTCAGAATTAAGAGAAGAAGGGCAGTGACTTGAAAATTCTCACAGATAATATTAAATGAAAATTAAGACAAAATATATCTAAAATACATGGCGGGGGATCTAGTTCAACATGCATTCAAACCCCCTCCACATCTTCAAGTTGTACAAATAATTCATTTGTTACTAATGAATTATTTAGTTTTGGAGCTGCATAAACAAGAACCATGATACCTGAACAAGATTGTCCGTTTCAAACCACTACCACTTATTGGTGTGAATGCATGGAGCAAATACAATAATTGTCGATCCCCGATTGAAAACCCACCCAGGAGGACACTCTTGGGAATCGAATAAAAAAATACATAAACAAAAGTCTTACCCGAATCTTCCAAGCTAAAAGCGATGACATCAGTATCTCTAAGATTTGAAGAAATGACGGCAAGTCACCGGTTTGAATTACAGAGTGAAACCAAAGACGATGATCAACAATCGAGGAAATTGAGGAAATGTCTTTCGTAGCTATAAAGGGTTTTACTTTAAGTCACCTAACCTGAAAAAGCTTCTTCTACTAAAAAATTTAAATAATCGTGGCAATATAATACAGTTACAAAAAGAAACAGCTTACCTTCCTCCATTGTGCTCACTCCTGCGGGAAACTATAGTAAAAATTTTACTAGAAAATTAAGGTACAAGTAAAAAAAATAACACACAGTCTGCAGTCTGCGTGGTCTGCATTTCAATATGACCATTCATCAATGGTGATTTTCATAATACTGTTAGAAGTAAAAGTCAAACATTAGACAGACTAATCATTAGCTGTTTAGAAGTAACAGTTAGATTGTAAGAGCAATCTGTTAGAGCATTAGAACAAATCATTAGAGTCTTTGGACAAACCGTTAAAGGGTTTGGGCAAACCAAAAGAGCGTTAGAAAGGCTGTTAGCTATCATTAGTTTTCTAACGGCTAACGGATTATCATTAGTGTACTTTTTCTCAAAGAAGGTCACAATTAGTCTGAAATAACAACAACAAAATAAGGTTTTGATGCTTTAAGGCAATGTCTCCTATTAGCTAGGTTAGCACATAGTCTTTAAGTATTAGGAGGATTTCATTCTGGTTCTCAGGGGTCTGTATGATTCTGGGTCTGCTTCGGCCTGTCTTTCGCTTGATTGTATGTGATCATCACTGTCTTCTTGTTTCCCTTTGCTCTTGGTTCTGCAACAATCAACAATTGAGAATTGAGTCTCAATTCTCGACTTGATTCCCGATTCTTGCAAGGACTGAGAATCAAGTGTCAACCTACTTTTGAACGGTAACTGTAAATTAAGTAACTTTTTCTGTTATTCCACAATATTATTGATATCAAGTTTTAAATAGTAAACCAATGGATTTGACAGTTGAGGTTACATGTATATCTTCCCACCCTGACCAGCTTTTTTGTGGACACTGCATTCATAAATTGATAAAGGTTTCAGGACAGTCATCAGTTATCACTGTAAGGAATAAATTTGAAATTTTTTACTTTTGGTCTCTCTAAACTCAACAGGAGAATCATACACTGTATTTCGTATGTAACAATCACCTTGATAATAGACCAGACCAAAAGATTTTGAATAGGATTTTTGAAAATGATTTCCAACTCAAAGCAAACAATTAATGGCAGCAGGCTTTCAGTGCTGTTTATTATGTTCATATCATGCCTAATTTCTTTGAATTCAATCTAGACTACCTCAAGGTATAAGTTTTGTTGGAAGAAATTAAGCATATCATAAACATGTTAAGTGTAAATGAGGCTGGTATTCCACTCACAGCCGGCAGGCCATGTGATTTTTCATGACTTAATCAAAAAACCTAAAAATGGCCTTTTACCAACTTTTTCACCTGATTTTACATGAAGTAGACAGATTTGGTTGTTTTATGCTGAAAAGTGGATTTTTTTCAAAAAGCTTGGCACTTTGCTTAACCCATTCGCTCCTGGAGATTTTGCCGAAAAACGCGTTTTGAAGCGAGTCGAGTGGTTTTCTGATCACTGTCGTGCTATAAAGAGCTAAAACTTACCACAAACCGGTTTACAGGTCGTACAGTTCGCGGCCTTCTGATCCAGATGCAAAATATCAGCTTGCGAAGTTCGGGCATGCGCAGAAAGCAAAATTTTGAGATAGTTTTTGGGTTTAAAAGTGACACAGCAGTCTTGACTTTTACTTTTCGCTTTCTCTCCTCCCCGTTTTTTCGCCTTTTTTTTTTTTTTTTGAGCATTTAGTAGGCTTCATTTTGGTGGGAAGAGTTTTCAGGAAAGCTTTTTAGGATCAGGTGGGCAATGGAACAAGATTTTTTTTTCAGGTCAATGTCACGTGGTTTTTTGCTTCTTTCTCCGGTGTCCTTGACTGAATTGTGCTCATTCTGGTATGGTTTGAAAGATCTCTTCACTCTACACAAGTTAGCGAAGAAAGTTGTCCTTGAACGTTAAAACTGATGACGTCACAAAGGGTAGAAAGGACCTGGATCCGTATGGGCGGTTACAGGCGGTTCAGGGGCGAATGGGTTAAGAAAGAAAAAATACAAACCTTATAAACTGTCTTAGAAATGTTAGCCACATGTGGCAATCAGAAATGGAGAAATGTTTCAGCTAATAATTTATGCTTTCATTCTAGAGGAACTTGTAAAAGAGAGGGCAAAGTTCAAGGCAAGTGAGCAGGAAGCAAAAAAATTGAAAAATGAACTTCATCAAGTTATTGCTGATGCAGATGGATACAAAGCTGCTGCTGCTTTATCAGAAAAGTCTCAAAAGGAGGAGTTAGATTCATTACACAATAAATATCAAGAGGAAATTGTCTCCTTGCAACATATCATGTCTGGTAAGTTTGTAGTTTTTTGTGTGTGTTTGAAGCAGTGCAGCAATAGACATCAGCTGCAAATCTTTATTTTAAAACAACTACACATTAATTTAGAAATGCATGTGGGCTTAACAGCGAGATTCCAGAAGACAAGACACACACAATTAAAAACAATTAACCCACCCAAAGTTTGACTATCATTTCTACAATCACTATCCTTTTGCCTGCAAAGCTAAAATCTATTAAAAAGTATACTTCATGTGACTCAAAGGAGTCACACAAGTCTTCTGCATTCTTATGCATTTGACTTATCAGAGTCACACATGTCCAAGGTTAATCTACTACATGTCGTACATCAGTAGCCACACAGACAGACAGTGAACAAAGCACTGAGTCTTCCACATCTGCTGCTTCAGCCTGAGAGTCTGAGGTCCTTTCTTCAACAAGTAAGAGTCTTAGAGCTTGTTGGTGAATGCCTGTCAAATAAGAACCTATACGTACAGTACTCTTCAAAAGTAAGTTTACACAATTCTCGATTCTTGATCCTCGTGATAATCAAGAATTTAGACTCAATTCACAATTGTTCATCTTAACTCTCAAAACTCATTTCCTGTGCAACTCAGCCAACCAGAATGGCCTTTGTTTAGTTTCGAGTAATTCGCTCTCTAATCTTGATACTCGATTGCTGTAAAATCTACAACCGTTGTTCAAGTGTAAAGCAATCTTCTAAATTCTCTGACGTCAGAAAAAACTTTCTACTTCATTAAATAGCAAACTCTACTCAGCGTTTGATTCCTACAAGAAATGCCTGAACTATGCAAATTCAAGATCCAGTAACAGTTGACAGCTCTTCAGGAAATTTGCATTCCTTTGCATGGCTCAGGTGACACTTTGCAATAAAACCTTGAAAATGCTTGAATGGCATTTTGCATCATTTAAATAGGAGGAGTTGTCAGTTCACTAGTTGAACTTGAAAAGCAATCCATGACTTTTTATCTAATGTAAAATCTAAAATAACAGAAAGCTTGTGTAAAACAAATGTTACATGATGGTGTGTAAACAAAGTCACACACATCATCGATTTTTTTCTATTTCCTGTTAGTGAGTGTCCATTGGCGTTATCACAGTTGAATGTCTGATTATTGGTGTCTAAAGTCAGGGTCTTTTTACTTGTAACTTGAACTCTTAGCCTGAATTGCTGTTTCATGATAGCATCAAAGTTTGATATATTTGTCCTTCACCACCTGTTTAGTTCAATTGGGAGATCACCAGTCTGCTGAGCAGGAGGTGACAGGTTCAAACCCTGGCCAGACCAACACTCAGGGTCTTGAAATAAGTGAGAAGAAAAATAAAAAAATGCTGCCTTCGTAATGACATCTGCAAATGGTTAGACTTTCTAGTCTTCTTACATAAGGACAAAAACCTGTAGGTCCCGTCTCACAGTGGTGGGACATAAAAAAACACACACCACTGTTCGAAAAAAGTAGGGAACGTAGACCCCGGTGGTGTGGCCAACCTTAACTCATCACATCATTCACATCATGGATTGGGTGGGTACAGTAAGCATATAAATGGACTAAGGATGGCTACCAGTGGCGCCTTTGTATGCCGATGTCCAGCTTACTGTTCACATGTTATAATATAAAATTATTGTAAAGAGGGCACATCTGTTGTTCTCTCATCCATGACTCCGTCCTTCTTTCCTTTTCTTCCTTTTTATGAGACATGATTGCAGCACTTACATAAAAGTTTTAATTTGAATATACATTAAAACTTCAGAAAACTTTAAAAACCTTAAAGAGCTTTGCAAACAATATTTAGTCCGGTGCGATACAATCTGCTTTTGAAATTGACACCTTGCAATTTTTCATCACCATAGTTGCAGTCACGTTGCAGGCAACAAAAAAGTTTGTGTATCTTGCCCCATTATTACGAGAGATGAACACGACCTCTAAAGAATGCGCTATATTTCCTAGTAGAATTAAAACCATTGTTTCTCTAAAAATTTCAAGGATCACGAATGCAATTTCAAATCCACAGGTTAGTCAAGATATGGATACATGTTACAGCTGATGTTTGTCATGCCCAGTGGCCAGATAAGCCTAGAATGGTGTCACATTACAAAATAAACATGCTGATACATATTTTCTTGCTTGTACACACTTATACACTGTTTGCTTGCATTTGGAGCAGGCATTTAAAACTCTATTTGAGGGAATGAAGCTTGATTCAGATGTCCTCAAAGAAACATTTGCTTAACTTGGTCTTGTATCAATCTTGTGCATACAATCACTTGGGCTAATAAAGCATACCCTGTTAGGTTACTGGATTTATGTCAATATAAAATTATCAAGAAATCAGTCATGGGTGAATCTTACGTTTTCTCTCTCACGAGACTCAATCCTCAAATTGATTCTCAATTCACAATATTCTCGATTTGCACAGGAATCGAGAGTTGAGACTTGCAACAACGGACTGTGTCAACAACTTACTTTTGAATGGTACTGTCTGTTAGTGTATGTCCTTGTTTTCCATAAGTTTATTCATAACTCAATGGATAGAGCACCTGCTATGTTTCAGGATGTTATTGAATCACATTGAGGGATTAAGATCTTGTCTTTAATTTTTCCACCCTTATGACAGGCTCATTATAACATCTATCACAAGTTGGTCAGGCAGGCACAATATGTTGAAGTAGAAACTACATTCCTACTTGCATTTGTTGACAGTTTTTGATGCACTGACATATTTAACCAATGGAGTAATATTCATAGTCACTTTTTGTATAAACTAGTTTTACTACGTAGCATATCTAAATTTATTACTAGAAACATGGCAATTTACCAACAATGATAATTTATTAATTATAATAATAAGTTATTATAATTATTTTATTATTGTAAAAACAAAAAATCTTTGCAGAGGCTGTGAGAGAGGCCAAGGAAAATGCAGCAGAACAATGTGATGTAGAAAAACACAACCTTATGGCAAAAAACCAAAGACTGGAGAATGAAGTAAAAAATTTAAAATCACTTCTTTCTTCTGATGGAGAAGGCATTAGCAGCCGACCTCGGATGTTGTCTGGATTATCTGATGCTGTGGTTAGTGCAATAAGGAGAAATACAGCAACAAGCCAAACATCACTACATGAAGTCGACCAAACTGCTAATGATGCTGCAAGGTCCTTGGAAGAAAGCATGGAAAAGGTATGGATATTAACAAGCATTTTTTTACATCCAGACTTAAGTGGAGTGAATTTTCGATTATATTGCCAAAAGTTAATGTTCATTCTTTACTGGAAAGGGAAAAAAACTCACTAAACCTGTCTCCAGGGCAGGGCTCAAAATAACAGATGGTCAATGGACAATGACCGGCCTGATGGTAAGTTGTCTGGCCAGAAACTTCATTCGCTGTTCATGTTTCCCCTGTCACGCACACTAGCTCCAATATCTAACAAAACAGCAGCCAAGTCCTCGCCTGTTAATCTTACAGTATTTGTCTCTTTGTAAAAATACAAATGGAAAATTACACAGGGATAATTATAGTTTTTCCCAATATTTTGACCGGTTTGAAACAAGACTTGATTTTCCTTTTTCTTCCAAATAAAGTATTTGGGAGTCATGCTTATAATTATTATACCAGTTTAAGTCAAGGGAATTACAGAGCCCAGACCCAGACCCAGGCCTCAACCATTTGTGACCAGCCTATTGTGTGTTTTTTAATCTAATGTATGCAGTGATTTTATGGAGTACAAGTAAAGTACTTTTACATATGCACATACATACAGAGGGCTCGAAATTCCAACTCACTGGTTGCCAATGCAACTAAAATTTGGGTGCTGGCGACTATGTTTTAAGACCTGGTCGCCAGTTGGCGAGTCATCTTCTGTTTAATAAAAAAGATAACCCCTTTTCCCAGATCTCTAATATTATTTAATATATTAATGCGTCTCCCAGCAGTAAAATGAACTAGTGCTCTGCAACATCCAGCAACTCAAACCCCTCATGAACAAATTACATTTTGTTAGAGGGAAGCGGAGATAAGGCAAGACTTACAACGTACACATTTTGCCTTGTGTCAGTTTTCTCCTTTTACAATGTTAGACTTTGGCGCCTTCTTAATGTTCTTCTTACACTTCTCCGTAACTGTCTAGTCCCACCATTAAGATTTTAGTCTTGTCTTTTTATCTTTCGGCCTGCATCAGTTCGTCCAATGTTAGTCTATGTCTTCTTATGTACCTTCGTTGTTAGAACCAATGGTGGTAGTTTCTTGTCTTTTACGTTTACTTTTATGTTTACTTAGTTAATTCATCACATGATGTTAGGCCAAAGTCGTACACTAGTTCATCAGTTGTAAGTTGTTGGTTGGGTCTTACTGTTGATTTCTCAAGTCTAGCCTTCTGACAGTTAGCCTAGAATTTTTTTAGGTTTCTTCATGTTGCAACCTGCGGACGTCGTTTTCATCAGGCATTTTCCATCAAATTGTCTGTTCTTGAGCAAAATTGTCGCATATCAAGAATTGTTCTCAAGATTGTCAGTTCATCAATAGCGATTGTTACGACTTTGAACTAGGAAAGAAAGAGTCTCAAGACTAACTTCCTGCGAACGAGCTAACGTACATGGGAAAAATTGAGACAAGGGTAACGTTGTATGGAGGGGACTGATCGAACAAATTGTTGAACACATTGTTCAAAGTTCAACCAATATTTTTGGCAACCAATATTTTTCCTCTAGTCGCCAGCTGGTGCCTGATTGAAAAGTTAATTTCCAGCCCTGATGCACATGCATACACTACACTCCAGTGTTATTGTGTTGTGAATGTTTAAAAATTATTCTCATAACTATATGCGTGGGTTTTTTTCTTTCTTTTAAAGTGGTCTTTCATGAAAAGAACATGGGCTGTCTGGGAATAACTGGATGACTGTGTTATTTTAAGCTATTGCAACACAAAACCATGCAGTTTAATTTTTTAATTAAGAAAGATAGTAATATAAGAACACTCTAGTTTGTAAGAAGTACTATATGTAACTCTAAGGCTATTTGCAACATTTTCACTACTGACATGCTAATATGACCTTGAAAAGATGTTGGTTGGTGATCTAATTTTCTGTTCTGTCTTTTAAGGCCCAAGAGGATGCAAAGGCTTGGAGAGCAATTGTTATGCCATTAGAAGAGGTATTTATTTTTTGACAAGTGATAGCAGCTCCCCACCCTTTTGGTATCAGGTTGTGGTTGCTAAAAGAAACATAGATTGCAGAGTATAAATGTAACTTCTGATGTTTGAGAGGCATGGGAAAGATTAGTCTGAAATTAATATTCTAACAGCACAGTTAACAGGTGTGTGGGAGGTTGTGGGATAGTTTTGGAGTGTTTATGGCTTTGGCACGAGATTTGTGCCATTCTATGTCAGCTCAATCAGTCGTTGTGATGTGTCATGTTCTTTTAAGTTCAGAAAAGCTGCCTTGATTACTTAGTGTATGTATTAGGCAATTGGTTCATAGTCTTTTGGAATTAGTTCTTTTTGAAGAAGTCTATATTGTAATTTAATGTATTTATAATTTGGATATATGTTTTAAAAAGAGCTTTTTCACTGGGGATTGAATCCATGCTGCTGCATTAGCAGGGGAATCCACAGATTTTTTGGCCACTTCTCAAGGGTGACCAGTGTTTTATTGGTTTCTCCTATCTGGCATGGCACATGTTGAACTAGCTTAAAACATGATTATTATAGTGTTTTGCTATAGCTATGGTATTGATGTAACTTAGCAAGGATGCATCTACATCAGATGACTAACTGATGCATCCTAACTAAACGTTATACACTGAATGTCTCGTGTTCGTGAAGTCAGAATCACTAGTTTCTCTCAAGTGCATCCATAACTCAATAATTACTATGGTGTTGTCATATTTGCTCACTTAGTCTATGGCTAAGGAATTATTTTTTGATTTTCTTTAAAGAAATTTTTTTTTTTGCTGAAGAAGAAGCTCTCTTAAACGCAACTTGTTACACACATTAGCTAGATTGTATCAACATTCACCTGTGGAGGAAATTAAATAATAGTCAGTGGTTTGTTAGTCAGGCAATCAGTCACATTTGTGACAGTTTAGGTCAGGACAAAGTTATTACAGAAAACTGCTTCAAAGTTAGTATAAAAAAATGTCTGTTATCTGTCTTTCCTATTTAGGAGCTATCACTGTTTAAAGCAAAGCTAAAAGATGCACAAGAAAAACTGCATATTGCAGAAGCCAAGATTAAGGTTTGTACTTTTATTTATTTATTTTTTTAATTAATTATTATTGTCCTAGCTCTATCAACCAATGGAACTGCTGATCGGAGAAAATTTGCATCATAATACTGAAATGAAAGTTAAATGCTATTTTATTCTAGCTACAAGAAAAATGGATCTGTTTGCAGTTGAAAAGATTGAAAATCAATTTGTTATAACTGCTTAACTGCAATTATTTTGTTGTTTTGTCACCGATATTAATTTATTAAACGCAAAACTGCTGATTTCCAGGAAGAGGAAGCCAAAAGCCTAGAAAGAAAATTTGAGGGTGAAGAATCATTTTCCGGAGAAAAGTTTGATGAAATGCAAGAGAAGGTCAGTTTTCTCTGTAAAGTACACATCCACACCTTACTAGTTTATAGAGGATTTCAAAGAATTTTCTTGCAGTTCTTCCTCCACCCACCCTACCTACACAAAGTCGAAACTCGGAAAAATTCTGGATACACCTGTCCAACATTGTTTGTGGGGTGAGGGGAGGGGTTGGACCTGTGTGAACTGGAAATCACCCCAGAAATGCAAAAGTGTCCCAAGACGTTTGTCCATGATTGTATATTTAGGCACTGGATCCCATGGCAAGGAGGGACTTGGATTTAAACTTGAAAAAAATGGGCCAACATTTTTAAGTTTTAATGTTATGAATAATAAATGAAATGATTTGTGTCTAGAGAAGACCACAGAAAAAAATTCTGAGTTCCAGATGGGAATATGTTACGCCTGCAAATATTGCTAAAAATGGTTATTATGGTTTGTGCTCACCGATAAAATTTCTTTCATAACTCTACAGGAGCTTTTATGTTTGGGTATTAAAAGGCACTGCTATAAAGTAATGACTTCAGCACAGAATTAACCTCAAACAGTAACATCCTCTTGACATACATGTAGCCCCTAAAAAAAACAAGACCACAGCAGGGTCATGCATGTGGGTAGCCATGATTGCCTTGTTGTGTCAGTGTCATGATATAAAACTTCCAAACCCTTCACTTTTTCATTTTACAGTGAACTCTCTAAGAAGGACACCTTCAGGACTGTCCCTGAATGTCCATCTTAGAGAGGTGTCTGGCTTATAGAGAGCCAAGGTGTGACACAGTCCTGTAATAAAAAAAAGCTGAACCTATTCGTGTTTAATTAATATAGAAGCTACTGTAAGCAGATCATGTTTTAACCTTGGAATACATTGTTATGGCAGCTAATGCACATGTTTTGGCAAGAATTAAGCTAGATGTAAACATGATTTATCTTTTTAAAAATGGAAGCAAAATTTTAACAAAATAAAACTTTCAAAGAAAAACTACATTGTGTACTTTTTCAAATGCCACTTTCTAAAACAGATAAAGGAATTAAATCAATATCTTGAAGCTGAGCGTTCATCAAGAACAGATTTGGAAATGTATGTGGCCGTTCTTAACACGCAAAGAGGTTAGTTTACATCGCCTGCTGTTAGCTTTACAGACAAGTGCACTTCAATTTTGATTATCAATAATTTGGGAGTGTTAAATTTGGTCGTTATTAGGCAAATAATATGATATGAGGCTTTTGCATAATGACTCGTTGTATATGAAGTTGAATTTGCTGGTATCTCTTTCAATGGTACAAGTTTTAAATGACATTTTTTGTATGATATTATTTTCGGGGTGTTCATTAGGTATTGGGGTGGGAATTCTCTGTTTACTATGCAGAAGGCTAACGTTCAGTAGCCTATGAAAATTTTTATTCAAATGTGGGGACTCGTAACCTTTCTCTAGCCTCCCATGCAGGCATTTTTAGGGGAGCTTGTATTTCATCCCTCCCCACAAACACCTGCGCAACCGAAAACAACATTCCTTTCCCAAAGTTAGCCTATCACACTTACTTACTTACGTACGTACTTACTTACTTACTTACTTACTTGTACTTCCCAAATTCTGGAAAGTTGACCTTGACTGCAGGGTAACCCAATAATTACTTGATCTGCATGAAACACTGGGAAAGCTTTATGACCTCTATTAAATGTTAGACTAAGACCAGCAAAAGTAAGATGTAGTCAAATTTTAGAATACTCCGTGAACTGCATAACCTTTAGCAAAGGAAAGAAAAGAAGGAAAAAAGGTAACTCTGGGGTCACGGTTTTACACTACCACGAGGCTATGAGTTGCATTAAGCCTGTGAACACCTTATGTCAAAACTGTTGATTGGTCACTTACCACACGATTAAAACAATGAGAAAAGAATGTTGTGTTCAGTTAACCAGACATTTGTGGGGAGGGATGAAATACAACCTCCTCTAAAAACGGCTGTGTGGGAGGCTAGCCTTTCTCCTGCTACTTGAATTCTTAATGAAATCCCTGTATTTTATTTTCAGGCGTTTTGCAGGAAGATTCTGACAAACTAAGAAATGAGCTTCACAATGGTAGGAATTTACTTTCAACTTGAGTTTCCAAATTGTCCATTGTTATCAGTTTTCTACACTTCTTGCCTTTAGTCCAGATTTCAAGTTAGTGACAGGGATGATCCAAGGATTTTTTGGCTTTGAATTTTTTGATTCTGGGATTTTTTGGGGGAAGGAAAATTTAGCAAGTGTTTTTTTAGATGGCATGATTTAAGTAGGGATTTTTTTGGTTACTCCAAACAATCTGAAGATTCTTGGTAGTGCATGTATGCCGGTCACCTGGTTGTGCAAATATAGCACAATGTGTTCTATCAATATGCTTTTTGGAAATTTGTAAGGCTCGGAAATTTGGCATAGGATTTTTTTGGAGTTAATCTTTGATCCAGGGATTTTGTCTACAGAGGTTCAACATTGCATATATGGTTTCATTTGCAAGCAATTGTTGTTTTACATAGGTAAAAAATCCCACAAAATATTGCAAATTTGCTCAGCTGAGAGGAAGAAGAGAAGGAAATATCACCATTAGTCATTAATAATTGGTTTCTGTTTGTTTTATCAGTTTGTAGGTTGTTAGAACAGGAAAAGATGGCTCACAATGATCTGAAGCACACCTGGGAAATGGCAAATGTACAGTTTTTAGAGAATTTAAGAGTACAAAGTGAGGCATTTACAAGAGTGTGGAACATTTTAACACCAGAACAAAGGACCACAGCTCAACAACAGCAGCAAGAGCGGCAAAAACAACAGCAACAGGAAGCACAAGTTGGATATCTTATTGATCTTCAAAGTCCTACAGACAAGATACCTCAGCCAGTTAACCCACAGGTATTGATTCATAAATCTACTAATTTACACCACTAACATTAATTTTAAACAAATCACTTAAAATAATTTATACCTGTCCACTGTCAGGGAAAAGTGAGTCTTCAATACGACAACATCAACAGATTCAAGACTCTGTTTTAGGTGGAGTTGTTCCCGGCAGAACAAGGGTGCTATCAAAACAGTGAAATGCTTGACAGCATAAATTAACATGGACCTGTCTTAATTATAATAATGAATTGGCTTCTCCATGCAGATTCCAGCAAACACAAATAGCCTTCTTCCTTACCCTTAGAGGTAGAGAGTAATATGAGACAAAAATTATTTAATAATTGATAAACTCTACCTGGTAGTGTATTATTTTGTATCATTCGAAGTGATGTAGAATCTTATGATAACCCTGTAGAGAAAGCACAATTATAAAAATAAATTTGACTCAGGGCCTCTCAACTGTATTTTTTACAGCTGTTTCAGATAACACAAAGCCTGCAAAGTCAAAAACTTCTTTGGATTTTAGGTTTTTCTGTGATGTCAATCAAAATGTGAAGGCTTGGCACTTTGTGTGCTGGACCTCTTAGGAAACGGAAGTTTACTTTAATGGGTTCAAAAGGTCATGGTTTGTTATTTGAGATTGGTGGATTTTGATCTGTTTTGTGTGTTTCTGTGTTTCTGTGTTTCAAGGTTCGTTGCTTTTCAACTTTTTAACTCCCAAGTTTTTTTACCTTCTTGCTAAAACATGGTGAAATTGTTCCTATGCCAGCTTCCAAATCCAGAAGAAACCCAAATATACATGTAGGAGGGTGAAAACAAATCGGTATGTTCTGGCCGACATGAAAATTTGAAGCTTCTGCTTATTATTGCCACCTTTATTTGACAAGCAACAATTAGATGCTATGGTAACAGTTTGATTGATGTTGAAGAAAAACCCAAAATCCTGAGAGGTTTTTGATGATGTGCAGGTTGCGTGTTATCTGAAACAGCTGTAAAGGGAATACCTGCCAAGTTTGAGCATTTAATATGTTGCTAATGAACAAAGATATCGTAAAGTACTGACGGCTGTAATTGTAAAAAGATGAAAATTTGTTATGATCCAGTTTTTTTTACAGTTGCCATGGCAACATAATGATACCATTATGTTTTGTATTTGACTTTGTTAAATAGTTAAATCCTGTGTACATTCTACTTCTTCAGTCATTCATTCAGGCAAGAACCTAAACAAAAACGTTGTTATTTTCATATTCCAACTTATCCTTTAAGTTACATGTGGGTATGATCTGAGTTTGTGTGTTCTATTGTACATTTGATATTGCAGGTACAGCAGCAACCCACACAAGTATCCATGTGGGACAGCATTCAGACTGTTCCATGCACAAATCAACTGGCATCTGAAACAGCTGCAGCACACAGTATTTCATCTCCAGACGATGATAAAGATACAACTGGGCTTAGAAGATCCCGTTCAACTTCTGACATAACAATGGATGTGGAAAGTAAGTTATTGCAACAAAACTACTCTGGTCTTTTTATTTTAGCCACCTAAAAATCCTTTTTATGTAGTCTGCATCTCGCTTATGTTACAAGTAGCAAGAAAAGATTGAGACTGAGTGGTGTTTGCTTTTGTAGCAAAAATAATTTTAACCTCAAAATTTTCCTCCAGAAAATATCTTCCTTCAATTCTAGTGAGTATTTTCATCTACATATGAGTCTCCTACTCTAGAATCTTCAAGCCCTTTTCCAATTATGCACATAAAGGTAATTTGGGCTAATTTGAAAACCACCCATTCAAGCATTTTATTTACTGTTATGTTGAACTACCAAAAGAAAACGCAGTTGAATCATTTTTTCCTTTGATATTAAGGTCAAAGGTCACTGCTCTATTCATGAGATCTGAGTGCACTGTGTATTGTACTTGATGTGTATTATGACTTTGGCACAGCATGTACATTATGCTTACTTTGTGCCTTTAAGAACCTGAAATCAACAGATAATTCATTAATTGTGGATTATAGATTATGCTGTTTGACAGCTAGGTAAATTGTTGATTAATAATGGTTGCTTAATGGTTGCTCTTTAATGTTGAATCAAGAAATGCATTTTCATGCATTGTAAGAAATGTTTAACCATATTTCTTATTTTGTTACCTGCTAAACTTGTTACTGAATATAAAGTTGTCAGTGGCTTAGGGAGTTCTTTTTCTTGGTTATTTAACATTTTAGCTTCAGGTGGTGAAGTATCCAGAACAAGGTCAGTAGAGGAACTGCAGATGTCATCACCCAGCAGCCCTCAGTCTGATAGTCATGTGACCAGTTCAATAAAAACCTCAAATAAAAATACTGATAGCAAGGTTGACTGGAAAGGATTCCAAGAAGCTGTAAGTGTTATCAGAATGATTATTATTCTTCAGTTAATAAAACGATCTGAGTACTTTGAATAGGAGTCCAACCTTAGGACCGTGTAGTTGCTCTATCAATAATTTACAGCAGACTCGCAGGGGTTAAAGCCATTATACTTGCTAGAGTTCATGATGTATGATGATGGCGTATGTGTAATGATATAAAATTGAATGTGATAGTGAATTTAAAACCTGATTAATATTAATTTCCATTTAGGGATCTCTTCAATAAATGTTGCAGGTTTCTTCAAAAAATTTCCAGAGGTCTCAAACAACAGTTAAATGCATGGATTCATGTTTAAAAATGATTTTACATGCTGGGCCAGCATTTATGTTGAATGGCACATCATGTTGTTTGGTGTGACCTGTTTCCTGCTGCATGTTATTAATAAAGAGTTGTGAACTTTGAATGATTTAATTTTCAGCTTTATCAGATGTCTTTATTTCAGGCTATGGATTTGGGTACATTGTAGTCTGAAATGTCATACATCTCCATCCCTAACCCATCTGTTATCTGAATTCCAAGCATTATAATGCTCAGCTGTTATCTAGTAATTTATGCATTTTTGCATAAATTTCAATTTCCTAACAAGTTCTTTCCCCTACGCCCCCCACACAGGTAAGGAGGTATAGGTAAGGTACATTGTTAACCTTGTAAATATTGCTTACAGGTGAAAGTTTCCCATGAACTTAGCAGGTCATGTGCAATGTGTATGAACTATGAGAGACAGTTGCAGAAAATGCAAGAGGAAAACCAAAAATTTCAAAACCTGGCCTCCAACTTACAAGTTGAATTAGATCGAGAAAAGGTAAAAGATAATAACTTACAAGTTACAAGTTTTCTTCTTACATCTTATGATCAATAACAATAATTTTTTTATGAATACCAGTTTTGCATCAAAGCAAGTAGTGTTTACAGTACTGAATCAAGAATTAAGAAAATATTTTTTTCTGAGTTTTTCTAGGAGATCATTCCATATTGTAGATCCATTGTATGACGGCAGCCTTAATTGACACTTCCTTGAATATTTCTGCTTCATATCTAGACATTTGCATTCTGACGTATGAAGTTATAATGTAATAATTAGCACTGTCACTGTCTTCCTATTCACTTTCTAATAACATTTCCTCTTTTGTCATTTTGGTTTAACTTTGGTGTCAATGGTATGTGGTTGTTCTTTTTTATTAGCTTTCTATCATGGATAATATTAAACTATATTTTTCCTCATTCAAACTCTTTTCAGAAAGAACTCTTTAAAGAACAAAAAATGAGGAGTAAAGTAGAGGAAAGTGTTGCTCGTGCAGCTGAAGATGCTCAGACGCAAATCAACACTCAAGTAGCAACAAATGCCAAGTTGGAAAGGTTACTTACTGGGCTACGTCAACATTTTGAGGCAACCAAACAAGAAGCACATAGTCACATAGTAAGCTCTGAATTTCTCAGCTGCATTGGTTTATTATCTTTTTTAAGTACTATTTGGCATTAAATGTAAAATATGAAGTTTGCAGTCCTCTCATAAGAGGACACCCTTAAATGGCCAAAGCAATAGTGTTGTTTTAGTGGACAGGACTATGAGCAATGTAAATACTTCTATCCTCCAGGGCTGTCTGTATGGGATGCCTGCAGTTCATTACAGGGTTACCCTGAATATTATAACAATTCATTGCCAGCAATTAACAACTGTATAGACAGACCTGCTGGGTGGAGTGAGATATTGTGGGGGTAAAGTAACTTAGGAGGCTACCATCCCTTTTGCTTTTTCACACTCTGTCACAAAATGCAATCTTGTAATTCAGGTCTTTAGAGGTTATTCATCAGGCCAGGAGCAGTATAAGACTGCTAACTCACATCTGACATTATTGACTACATCAATAACCGCAGGGAGAGTCACTCAACAAACTTTTATAAAGTGATGCTCCCTTACCCTTTTTTTATATACTATTTTTGACAGAAAAGGATTTCCTTTGTATTTTCTTTTATTGACAAAAGGTTACCCCTTCCATATGAGTCGCTAAAACAGGAAGTCCTCAAAGTCTGTCATTTTCCAGTACTTTCTTACTTACTTAGGCTGGGAATCATCCCAAGCCAAAAAAAATTCCAAGTAAGATTTAATGAATTAAAATAATATTGCCATTCCGACGTCTTGTGAACACGTTTTAACTAAAGGACCTTTAAAATACTTAAATCGATAGATTTCACTTCTCTTTCACATCTTCAACTTGTGAATTTCCACCCCTTTGATATACACTGTGCCTAAAGCCTGAAGAAAAAGGCACCAGACCACTTTCGGTAGGAACCTCCCTATGTAGGCCATTATAAATAATAGCTTAAGACATTGTTTACGTTAATATTATTTTTCTCAAGTTAAAAACACATGTGGGATCTTTCTCTTATAGACTAAACTTGTCAAGTCTAGGGATCACCTAACTGAAGAGGTAAGTGAGTACACTTTCAGGTCAGTTATACCTTAGTTTGTTCTGTTACATAAAACTGATCATGTAACCCTGCTGATGAAATGCAGCCAATCTCACGACATTACTTGAACCAGGGGCACCAAACAAGAATATAGTTTAAAACCACTTAATCATATCATTGTTAAACATATTTTAGTACACCTTTTGCTGTTCATTATGAGAAAATAGGCGACCAATAGTGCGAAGATACATTCATTAGCGCGAAAATACCAACACTCAATTGATTGTACAAGCACATTAATGTTTGTCTTATCCATTCTAAAGCTGTCCAGGAATCCTATTGAATTGCAAACAGTGTCATAAAAATGTTAATGAATAGCGTTTGCACTGAAATGTTTGTCTATTGTCCCTAATGATTTTCAAGGTAATGTTAAGGACTCGAATGTTGGCATTAATGAAAGTATATTTTTCTCTTTTGTATGTCGAATGACGCAAATGAATGCCCAAAAATGTTATTGAATGTTTATTAAAATGCAGAAATCGTTATTGAATCTGATTTATGCGCAAATGTTCGCTTTTTCGCGCTAATGAATGTATCTTCGCGCTGTTGGTCGCCGTTTCACGCAAATGAATGCGTGTTTTCTCGTAATGAACAGCAAAAGGTGTAGTAAACGGTAGATATAGGCGTATTTTTATCCCCTAAAAATTTTCCATCTTTTCGGATTTTCTAGCTGAAAGTCTGGTGATCCGAAAATTATAGGAATCAACCTTTTCAAAAATTTCAGGCAGAAAAAAGGCTCCCAAAAATTCTAGGTGACCTTTTAAGGGTAAAAATCGGTTAAAAATGGGCAATTATACCATTTTTTAAGTGTTCGAAAATCCTAGGAGAGGCAGGCAAGCAAGAAATTTTACAACAAATGTTCCCGAAAATTCTAGATCTCAATTCGTCTTCCGAACAGATTTATTGCGAAAATTGACGTTGGGTGCCCCTGTTGAACGTTTAAGTGCAGTAATGTACAGTATTGTTAACAGCTGTCTCGAAATGTTCAGTTCACAGATTATATTTTGAACAGTAAGTTCAGCAATGCTACCAGTCTAATTTTTTTCTTTTTCTTTTGTAATTCCTTGTTCTCCCTTCTAAGTATTTTTTGTGGGGATGCTTGGAATTGAATGTTTCATCGCTAACAAAACTGCGCATAGACACGGCTATTATAATGAGCGTGATTCGAAAACCTGTGTTCTCGTCCCTTCACAGCAAAACAATAAGCTGGCGTTTTCAAAAATTTCGGTGTACATTGAATGTGTGGACTTATAATTATTTATTTGATTTGATCTTTATTAGATTCAATTAATTTTACCTTCCATATTATAATATACAAAGACTTAAGTCAAACCCAAAGCAGGGTATTTCCCTTTGGCAGCTATGAATCTGGCCCTTGGCTATACTTTCATTGGAAAATAGAAGAAAAATAGAACCGAAAGAAACCCCTAGCTGCTTGATTCCCTGCCTACTTGTTGTATTTACCCGGCAACTTGAAGTCTTAGTGACAAATACCCCTGCCCAAACACATGGCGCTCTTTTAAACAAATTACAACTATGATAATAAAAAGGAGACTATTCATAATGTAGCTTTAAATGGGTTACAATTCACGTTATGTTACTTTCAGCTGAACCAGTTAAGAACAGATTACACTGCTCTTCAAGATAATGCTATTCAACAACTGACTCAAATGGATTCCGATGCCAGACTAAATGAAATGCGTGAACAGCTGATGCAGATACGAGCTGCATCTGAGAGCACTGAGGAAAAGCTTAGAAGTGAGGTGAATGAATTACTTTTATATTGGTAAACTGATATACCTTCCAAAAATCCGCTTTAAAGTTGTTATAGATCAGAAGGGCTAACGGAGTTTTCTCACCTGCAGCGGGCCATTTTTAAGGTGGAGTTCCACTGTCACATCACTTATGTGCGTACACATTTAAATTTACGCATGTAAGTACATTAGAGGTACTGTAATGTACCGCACGTCGCACGTTTAGAAAGTTGAGCCTTGCTCAACTTTACGTTTACGTACAGCCTTCCATACAATGCCTCTATTTTATTGAGGTACATAAATTATACGTGCGTACACACGTAAAAATTACGCTACTGTGGACATGTACCATTTCTGAACTGATTTTAGTTCGGCGGCAAGAGGGTATGTAATAGATTTAATCTCCAATCAGAAATCAGCGAAACAAACTTGACCTTTTGTTCGCAACAGTACTCGACTCAGTCGCTCAAAAGCTCAACGTGTGGGAACGTTTAGTAAACTGCTTGATTCGTTATTTTGAAAGTGCTTATGGTTTGTTTTGTTAGCAAATGTGATCACCCCCTGCTTTTAACTGCCGTCTGCTTCATTAGCTTTTTTTCTATTTCAAGGTAACTTTCCTTAAAGACCGCGTTATAGCAGAGCAGGTTGCTAAGGACAGTCTGGAGGCAATGCTACAAGGAGATGTTGACAATATCCGAATTGAACTTGGTATGACCGCTTACAAGAAATTAATTATCAGACAATACCTAACCTAACCATAACTACTCAAATCTGATTGGCTTGTAATGATCAACGGCAGTATATTGTCCGGGTGGTGGGGTCCATTTGCTTTTTCTTGGTTTTCAGCTTTAGGGGGTGTTTACGTGACACCGGGGCGACTTTCGCTCCGGAGTGAGTTCACTGCAGTTGTTGTACCGGGGCGAGAATTTCACCCCGGTACTACATCTCGCAACGGTATCATGTAAACACGAAACGACCACAAGTTTCGGTGTGAAATCAGTCTGCTGGTAGACTGGAACGGGTAGCGCATGCACATGTTTGCAATTTTGAATCTTACGTGTATTTTATCAACATGAAGTGTACCTTCAAATAAAGAGATATGAAATGACCCAGTCATAATTTAAACACGATAAGAAATCGCGAAAAAGTGGGACCTTTTAGTCTTTCGTACAATAACTCGATTGGAAATCCCGGTATGAAATAAAAAAGTCATAGTCATCCCGGTATGAAACTCGCGCCGGTGCGAGTTTCCTCATGTTAACACCCCCTTAGTTTGGTCTGTGCCGCGCGCAGCAGGCTATTGTTGAGGAGACTTCCTGGATACAGTCAAACCTCTCTAATACGGACGCCGAAGGGACCGAGCAAAGTGTCCGTATTAGAGAGGTGTCCGTATAAAAGAGGTCACTACCATGACGTCACTTTTATGACTCCACTTACAGTTTTAAGTGTTCAGTCGCTAAAACCAGGCTGCCACTCGTCTTTAAACTGCATTTAAATTTATTAATTCACAATGCAAAGACACTGTCTTGCAGTAGCATACAACATTGCACTTCTCAGTTACAAAGTAAGTACAGTCGTAGACAAATCACTATTTTAAAACGAAACGAGCTGCAGTTCAATAGTGCAAGACAAAAGTTAGAACGTAAAGCTCGATTGAATTCTCAAAGCGTCTTTCGCTATTTTGCAAGTGCCATAGACAGTAACTAGAGTACAGAATGTACCACAAAAGATCTTAATGCTATTTGCAGTTATTCAAGCCTTAAAAAAGTCGGTTGTGTTCCTCTATACACCTTTCCGCGCAAACCGTTGTTTGATTTACAGCGACTGGGCTTTTGAACTCACCTTGCATAGCTCATCAGCCAGACGGGATTCACCCTGTGCAGATTCACCTGATCACCGCAGAGTCCGTAATGAAGAGGTTAAGTTTATATGAATTTACCCTCTGGGGCCGAGATTTAGTGTCCGTTGTCCATATTTGAGACAGCCCGTATTATAGAGGGTTTTTGTTAAGAAAATATATGAGAATTCGCACTGAGAGGTATTCATTAACTGTCAATTAACCAAGAGATTCACCTGCATCATCGATGATGGGTCACAAAAATTTAGTTTGATGTTCTCTTCTGATCAAGTCTCATCTAGTTTGATATCCATCTCGCTGCATATTCAATTCTTGTCTTGATTTTACTATTATTATATACATCACTCTTGATTTTGGTTACTCAGTTCTTGAATTGATTGCTAGTGTAGGTTCGGAAAAGGCACCTAGAATTATGTTTGCATCGTCGGCAAACGTCCTCGAATAGGCGACACGCAGGCAGTATAGTGGATCATAAATATTCATTATAAAAGCAACCGACGGAGATTACTTTCTTGAAGTACGTCAGAATTAACAGTAGGAGCAGGTGGCAGTTTGCCATTAACACTACATCTTTGAGTTGGATTGTTTACACACGACTGACGCCAATTAACAGCCTTATGACATGTTACATACAGGCCATTTTCAATATTGGAGGGTTTATGGTGGTTAGAGAGAGGGAGTGAAATAGGAAGATTTGTGTTTTGACTGCCTTAATTAGGTAGATTGACCACCATAGAAGAATTGACAAGATGACGTTACAGGTGCTAGCCCTTCGTCAGAGAGATTTAGGGGACTGTGCTTTGTGTGTGGTTTGTATACACTCTATCAGATGTTGGAGCTGTTGTTGGCGGTAACTTGAAATATTGATAAGCTGTGCTATGATTCTCCGGGTGAAGAGTGTGGTCCTGAACCTGAGGATTTTGTTGACAGTGACTAACGTTTAGACATCTTCAAAGTCGGTCAAAGCACCTTGTATCACGTCAGTTGATGGTATCAAACTCAGCTGGTTATTGAGTGGCGATGTTATTAATCGTCTGTCAGTTAAACCGCTATGTTAGTGGCCTCGTGAAAACTCTAAATGTGATCGGTGTGTTTCGAACTAAAGTGCCAGTAACTTTTAAAATTGATTCATTAGACTACGAGCAGTCTCTCTCTCACAGTCTATCGATTTAACAGAGTTTGTTATAAGTTATTAAACCAGCTTTATAAAGTGAGTCGTTCACAGTAGTTTGTAGAATACGTAATGCAAGTCGCAGCAGAGTGCCAATCAATTTGATGATTCTTCTATAAATGTTGTTCGTCATTGTGGTTGTTGACATCACCATTTCTTGTTGTTCTTTTGTGTTCAGTTAGTCGAGTTCTTTGGTCTGTATGCAGTGGTAGTAAGTTCAAAAGTAGATTTCTTAATAGCAACTCCTCGCTACGGTATAGCTCTACTACGGCTGTTGTAACCGGGAAGGGCTGGGGCGACTTAAGGGGCGACCACGCGGTCTCCCGCCAAAACTCAAAATGGTTAAAGGTCAAATGAACCAAAACATGTCAATTTTTTGGTTCATTTGACCTTTAAGGTTGGTTAAGTTACGCTCGGTGCGGCAACGTCACAACCGACACAAAATGTAAACAAACTCGGACGACAGGACTAGTATTCCCGTCTAGGTTTTGGTTGATTTCTCTTCAATGGTTTCGTTTAAAGAAATAACAGACCTTACTGTGCTCAAGTTCTTATGGCATGAATTTTATAAATGATGCTGAATTTCTGTTGTTATATAATTCGTATAGCTCAGAAAACCTTTATTTGCCATATCATTTGTATCCCGAGTTCGACCTTCAAAATTTCAACGAAGATGAATGTCTAACAGAATTTCGTTTCAAGAAAGCTGACATCCCAAGGCTTGTACGGGCTTTACAAATCCCTCAGATACTCAGTACCAAGGAACGATTTGCGACGGGATTGAACATTTAGTCTAAATCTGTCGAGATTGAAATAATATAGATGTCACACAACTTTGAACATCGCTCGCTTTAAATGTGCGTTCGCTCGCTCTAGCGCCGGTAAATTATAAAAATTTTATTCTCAAAGCGAAACAAGTTGTTAAGAACATCCCTGGCAGATAAGCCAAAAGATAAAAATATTTTTTAATAGGTACTCATGAAATTAAGTCTTGACAATCACTTATTGAAACTAATACTTCCATAAGCTTACATAGGCTCTCTTACGAGGCTTTCTTGTCTGCAGCCATGATTATAAGGTATCCAAATCCTTTGAGTTTTCCCTTAAATAACAAAGCAATAATACCTAAGGAATATAACCAAGTATGACTAAGTACTTAGTCTCTGAAGTAGGCTTCTCAGAAAAGCGAAATAAGCTTTAAAATGGCAAAGAAATGACAGTTACGGCAAAGAAGGCAAAAAAATGAAATGAGCAGACGTTATCGTGAAAGCAGTTTCATTCCAATATGTACATTCACAGAGTGTTATTTATACTCCTCAATAACACAAAATGGTGGAGCTATTATGCCTCAAATTACTTTGAAAGCCGCAAAGCATTCTGCATTTAAGTTAATAGTGGATCAACTCTTTTAACCCTTACAAGTTCTTCAAACTGGTCTCTATACATTTCCTTAAAAGGATAAGTTGAGAGAATTTGATTAAAGATCAAAGCATTTTCTCTTAGGTGATAATTTTATTAATTCTAAAAACCTAATCTCTTGATTTTGTATAGATATTGTTAGGAGAAAATTGATGCTGGTCACTATTGGGACTTAAAGGGTTAAAACAAGTAAAAAGAAATAATCTGATGTTTGCTAATTTAATTTTTTCGTATGTTTGGTCTTTCCTATGCTTAAAAATGTGAATCATTGTTTCACATTTTTGTTAAATTCACTACTGAAATGAATTGCTTTGAATGAGTTGCATTTTCCATTTCATCCCGCTTTTACCTCCGCTTCTCTCATTTACAGTAACCCGCTAATTTGTAACACAGTTGACTTTTTTATATGACATAAATATCCGGAAAAACATAGAACAAACAATTTTGTCGTCATTTTGACCTTAACATGCTAAATTTCGTGTACTTTCGGTTAGGTGATATTTACTTCCGGTCAAAATGGCGGCCATTTTAGTAATAACTTCAAAAACCGGTTTAACAGGAAAAATTTGCGATGGCACCATATCACATATTAATAGCCCGATTAGTTTATATAATAA